GTGTGCAGTAATGCTGAGCCATGATGACTCACGAGTACTGACTCATATATGATGTAATGTTTAATGTGATTGGTCACAGGCAGATGTGCATAAGTTTATATGTGAACCTGTACAATAGATGTATCTTCCTGCTCTGTGATGAATGCTATCCTGTTATGCTGCCAGACTGCACTTCTGTATATATCCTGTAAATACACGATTGGTGTTGGGAGAAGCTGACTGCGTGTGTGTGGTTTATTCGGACCGCCTGGACTGGACATTAATCTGCTGATTCTACTGAATTTTCACGATTTTGCGCAAATAAATAACTTCATGGATGCTGGACTTCTCCACCCTACGATATGTTGTAACTGGAATTGTGGTTCGTATTATCTGGGGATTATGTGTGTGTTCTATCTAGACTTTTGCCTTTGTGTGTTGCTTTTCATTCACCTCCAAGCCCAGAAATGGCTATACAAAGAGAAGCATATTTAAATTCAGCATTGTTTCAATTGTCAGAATTTAAAAAGTGGGGAGCGATACCTGGATATGGCCGAAAGTAGTTTCATTCCTGGTCTTGGAGTAGAAAATCTTATTCTACATGTTATTTCCTATATTAATTCCCTCGTATTAAGTCTAATAATAATAATAATAATAATAATAATAATAATAATAATAATAATAATAATAATAATAATAATAATAATAATAATAATAATAATAACCTCATAAAATAAAAATACATCAAATAAACATTTAAAACATTCAAGGCATTAAAACATTTAAGATGGTGGGCATGCGGCAGATAGGCTAATTAAACTCAGCTGTGCTTTCAGGCATTTGATGGCTTCATATAATAATAATAATAATAACCTCAAAGCATAAAAATACATCAAATAAACATTTAAAACATTCAAGGCATTAAAACATTTAAGATGGTGGGCATGCGGCAGATAGGCTAATTAAACTCAGCTGTGCTTTCAGGCATTTGTATTTATGGCTTCATTTGGTCTCCCCCAACTGCTTCCTCCCCCTGGCTTGGCTACTGCATCACACTTGACATGGTGCTACCTCTGAAGGTGTGTTGCTGGGAGTGCCTTAACGGCCCTGTTCCAACAGCCCTATATGGCTTATATAACCCTATGCAACTTTAGTTAGTTAGGCATCCTTCAGTCTCGAAAGACTATGGTAATGTGCTCTGTATGGAGGACTTGGAACAGCATCTAGTGTGGCTGAGGAGGCCAATTCAAGAATGACAATCTCTTCCACACTAAAGACAAATCCAATCAGTCCCCTGTCCAGCTCCCTGGTTTTGCTGCTTTTGTGACTTCTTCTTTGCCTCGGCCTGCTGGGCAAGGGTCTCTTCAAATTGGGAGAGGCCGTGATGCAATGCCTGCCTCCAGGCTGAACGCTCAGATGTCAGGGTTTCCCATCTTGCACCCCTGCTCTGATGGGAACCCTGACCAATCAGCTGGCTAATAGGGAAGCAAGGTGATTGGTTGGGCGGTGCATGTAGCCAGCCTATTCTGGAGCCTGAAAAGGGAAGCTGGAGGGCTGGAGTGTGATGAAGAGTATAACAGGGGGAAAAAGGGGTTATTGCATTGTAACTTGTTGTTGTGTTGTGGTAACTGAAGAAGAACTGGAGCTTAGATCTGTTCCCAAGTTGATGGTCCTATAAGATAAAAAGATATCATTTTCACTCTTTAGCCACTGGATCTGGTGTGGTTAATGGCTGGTGTCAAATGCGTTACTGGAAAGTTACTTTAAAAAGCTTCCCACCTTCCCACGTAAGCCTGCCTGGCTTTTATTTCTATGAGCTTCTTGGAGGCCTTTTTCTTAGTCTGGTAAGGACATAAACAGGGCCTTTTCAAAGCCTCTTTCAAGGCTGTGGAACTCCCTGCCACAGGAAGCTGTGCCAGCCTTTTTACCTAACCAGGCAGGCTTTTTTCAGCAGAACTGATGGCTGAGAAAGCACTAAACTTTCTTCTCAAGTTATTTTGGTTATCATGCACTGCAATAGCACTTTCTATATTTGATTGCAGGATATAAACCAATGAAATTAATCAGTCGCTTCTCCCTGTTTTCCAGCAAAGGGTTTCAACAGAAAGAAAGGATCTGAAGAAAGAGAGAGAGAGAGGTGTGTGTGGGGTTCCCATTCCCTTCTTCTAGGGGTGCCCTGGGACTGTGCAGCTTGCCCAAAGCCCCATAGGCTGGCTCTTCTCTCAAGGAGGCATAACTGGGAAATCAAACTCCCAACCTCTGGATCTACAGCCAGAGACCTAACTCACTGAGCTATCCAGCAAGCTGTGTATGACAGTATGCGAAAGCAAAGGGCTGCAGGTGTGTCCTCCTATGTACAAAGATGGCAAATTTGGGAAGTTACATGACATATGGTTTCTGCTGCTATAATAGTCTCTCTTTGCCACTAAGCAACCTATTTGATCTCAGGCAGGGGTGGGCAAAAAGCATCCCCCAGGGAAAAAATGTAGCCCACAGTACTATCACCTCCCCCAAATATTTAGTTTTTCTAGTGTATTTTAGGCCCCACGAGTCCCAATTTACTGTGGGTGACACAGGGATCAATTTTTCTAGGTTTGGAAGACCCCTCCCCAGCACCTGCCCCACTACATTCCCCCCCAAAGTTTTTTGGGGAAAAAAGTCCTTAGGAATTTGCAGTTTAAAAAACCACGGGTTTGTAAGAAAATATATTGGGGTGGGGTCACAAGTACCTGTCTTGAGGTCCAGGGACAGCTGTGCGCATCTCCCAACCTTATGCAATGTTATGTGCCTCATCCTAGAGTCATATTAAGATCTCTGAACATAGAGATGTTATAGCCTCATCATCAAGGTCAAACACAGAGCAGTCTTTGTCCAAAACTTCTCACACGATTGGTCCCAAATGGAACAGTTGTTTTGGAAACCCAATTTCTCCCTGCATAAAGCTTATGACAGTCTCAAGGATCAGACTCCACAACATCCAGGATCAGGCTCCCCAACATCTGAAGCAAGAAGAAATATCTCATCACAGTAACTGAATACATGGCATTATTTGCAACAATTCCACAATTGGAGGGGTAGGGGTGCTACATCCCTTAAACCCCCAGAACGTCTATGGACATCGATCCATGACAAATTCAAGCAAGACATGGCTTTAATTTTTTGCTCATTTTATTGCCAATCTGTCAGGTTCCCATACTACACCATAGTATATTCCTGTGAAGAAAGGCAGCTATGAGGTACATCCACCTTCCTGTCACACATCCCCGTTCAGCATTTCTTGCTTTCTGACTGAACCATTGGATCACTGATCACAGCCTGCAGAAGATTAGGGACCTAAATCTAAGAATAATTAAAAAGAAGGTGAGTGTATTTCAACTACTAGAGACTGGACTTGATTAGTGTAGTTTTAAAGCATTTGTATTATTAAAATTGTTAAGACACCTCAAATGCACCACAAGTGGTTCTGATCAAGTCCAATATATGGTTTAACAGAAGTTGGAGAACTAATATATGGTTTAACAGAAGTTGGAGATCTCTATATATAAATATAGTTACTAAAATCTCCCTCATTCCCCAACCGGTCCAAAAATTATTGGAGGATTCCTGGGGGGGTATTAAAAATGCTCAAACAATGGCCAAGTTGATTAAGTGTAATTCTTCAAATGGTCGTCCGTGAATTCTCACATATGGAATTCCATGTCTGTGCTAAAAGCAAACTAAGAGTTTAAAAGCAAGAGTTTTCTCCTTGCCAATAGCTACTGAGCATGCCTAACTAACAGCTCTACCTCAGTTCTCCTCCATCTTCCTTTGTCCATTATCATTGTCATGTGCTGTCAAGCCAATTCTGACTTTCCAGGGTTCTCCAGGTAGAATACACAGAAGTGGTTTCACCTTCCCTCCTTCTGAGGGTGCCCTGGGACTGTGCAGCTTTCCCAAGGCTACACAAGCAGACTCGTCTTCCTGGATGCACAGAGAGTAACCAAAGTTGCAACCTCCGAGTCCACAGCAAGATAACTAAACCACCGAGCTATCCAGCTGGTCAGAATATAATAAATGTATCCCCTCAGAAGCTTTTTTCGTGTGTGTGGTTTTTTCAGGCTGTTTGGCTGTGTTCTGGATAAACATCCCCAAAACCCCCAACAACCATCAGGTCCCAGCCGTGAAAGCCTTCGAGAAACTATAGCCTTCATGGTTAAATTGTAAACTGCCCAGAAAGTGCTTTAAGCACTATGGGATGGTCTATAAGCAGCACGCTTTGCTTTATGCAAAGTAAGGAGTATTTGCTGCTGACAGGACGTTCCACATTCCAAGCCATGTGTGTGCGTTTGATATAGTCTGGTGTGGAGAAATAGGGAAAAGGGTGGTTTGGGAGTTTAGGGTCTGAGAGCAGTCTGAGGGAGATTGGGGTCAGGGGAAAAGATAATAGAGAGAGTGAAAGACTGTGCCGAATAACTTTAAAGCCAAGAAATAAGCAACTTTATCTTAAATGAACTGCTGGGTAGCTATTCCAGCCCTGTACTTCCAAGATTATTATTATTATTATTATTATTATTATTATTATTATTATTATTATTATTATTATTATTATTATTATTATTATTACTACTACTACTACTACTACTACTACTACTACTACTACTACTACTACTACACTGTTATTTTAGTCAAACCTTATTTATTCTACTCAAACTGAGTGGGGCTGAGCACCATACCCAACACAGGGAATTAGAGAGGTCTCAGTGAAGGGGAAAAGGGGCAGTGAAAGGCTGGTGGCAGCAAATCAAGAAGAGAGGAAATCACCGAAGAGTCTTAAAGAACACATTTGTCTACTACTACTACTACTACTACTACACTGTTATTTTAGTCAAACCTTATTTATTCTACTCAAACTGAGTGGGGCTGAGCACCATACCCAACACAGGGAATTAGAGAGGTCTCAGTGAAGGGGAAAAGGGGCAGTGAAAGGCTGGTGGCAGCAAATCAAGAAGAGAGGAAATCACCGAAGAGTCTTAAAGAACACATTTGTCCAAGTGGCAAAACTATGATTTTAATAGCTACATGACAGGACATATGGAGGTGTAGCATCAGGATCAGAGAGGAGTGTGACCACCTCTGGGGGTACTTCCATGGGAAGCAGGGTGTGTTGTCGAATTAAAATCACTTCCAGATTTTGCACATCTGGATGGCGCCCCCTCCAGGTGGCTTCTTTCATGGGAGCAAAGACTCCTTTTACGGCTGAAGCTCTTTCCACATCCCCAGCATTTAAATGGCTTCCCCCCAGCATGAATGGTTTTATGGGATGTAAGATGTGTGCTCTGACTGAAATTCCTTCCACATTCCAGGCACTGAAAAGGCTTCTCTCCTGTGTGGATTCTCATATGGGTTGCAAAGTGGGTGCTTTGACTGAAGCGCTTTCCACATTCCAGGCACTGAAAAGGCTTCTCTCCTGTGTGGATTCTCACGTGACATTTCAGGGTCGAGCTGTGGCTGAAGCTTTTCCCACATTCTAAGCACTTAAATGGTTTTTCCCCAGTGTGGACCCTCCTATGGGAAGAAAGATGCGCATTCAAACTGAAGCTTTTCCCACATTCCAAACACTGAAATGGTTTCTCTCCGGTGTGGATCCTGATATGGGAAGTGAGGTCTTTCCTCTGATTGAACGTGCTTCCACATTCCACACATTTAAAGGGCTTCTCTCCCATGTGGGTTCTCTTGTGGGAAGCAAGGTTTCTGCTCTGACTGAAGCTCCTTCCACATTCCACACATTCAAACTGAAGCTTTTCCCACATTCCAAACACTGAAATGGTTTCTCTCCGGTGTGGATCCTGATATGGGAAGTGAGGTCTTTCCTCTGATTGAACGTGCTTCCACATTCCACACATTTAAAGGGCTTCTCTCCCGTGTGGGTTCTCTTGTGGGAAGCAAGGTTTCTGCTCTGACTGAAGCTCCTTCCACATTCCGCACATTTAAAGGGTTTCTCCCTGGTGTGGATTCTCTTGTGGGAAACAAGGGTTGTGCTGTGACTGAAGCGCTTCCCACATTCCAAGCATTTAAAGGGTTTCTCCCCAGTGTGGATTCTTTGATGGGAATTAAGGGTGCTTCTAACACTGAAGCTCTTTCCACATTCAGCACATTGAAATGGTTTCTCACCAGTGTGAGTTCTCTTATGGGATGCAAGGTGTATGCTCTGGCTGAAGCTTTTTCCACACTGAAAACATTTAAATGGTTTCTCTCCATTGTGGATCCCCATATGGGAAGCCAGGTGTATGCTTTGTCTGAAGCTCTTCCCACAGTTGAGGCATTTAAAGGGTTTCTCCCCTGTGTGGATTTTCATATGGGAAACAAGATTTGCCCTCTGACAGAAGCCCTTCCCACATTCAAGGCATTTAAAGGGTTTCTCCCCTGTGTGGATTTTCATATGGGAAGCACGGTTTGCCCTCTGACTGAAGCTCTTTCCACATTCCAAGCATTGAAAGGGTTTCTCTCCTGTGTGGATTTTCTTATGCGTAGCGAGGTCTGAGCCCGAACGGAAACATTTCTCACATTCAGTGCATTTAAACTGTGTCTCCTCATTGTGGATTCTCATATCATAATTACCGAATGTGCTGTGAATGAAATCCTTTCCACATTCCAAAGGCTTCTCGGGCGTGTAGAACTTACAAAAGAAGCTAAGGTTCGTTCTGCTACTGATGCTCTTCTGATGTTCGAGATAATACTTCCACTGCTTATCAGAGACCGTTCCCATGGATACGCCTCCCTCTTCTTCCTCAGTCCTCCCCTCTCTCCTATCAGTAGCTGAAATGAAAAACGAAATTCAGTCAAAATGCAACATTTGAGTCTCAAATGATGGAAGAAAAACTAACTAAATGTAACTGGGCAGACAACGCTTACAGAAGTCCTCTGGTTCTGCCATTAACAGCACCCTTTAGGAGGGGAAACTCGCAGAACTACCAGACGGGAAGAGCAGAAAACTGGTGTGCACACAACAGAAAATCTTTGGTACCATTTATAAATTGGTCTTCTCAACCTAAATGGGGGAAAAACACTTACCGAGAGTGACCAGATTGATTAAATTCTCCTCCATGACTTCCCTGTGGAGAGCCCTTTGGCCTGGATCCAGCAGCGCCCACTCCTCCTCCGTAAAATACACAGCAATGTCTTCAAAAGTCATGACTCCCTGAGAGAAGAGGTCAACATTTTAGCCTCAGCCAGACTGGAAGGCTTCTCTCCCTGTTCCCCTATTGCAGGGAAGATAAAGGAACAATGTGACCAGGCCATAGGCTCCGGATACAACCCTTCATGGACCATATCCTTAACTTCCCTAATGCACATCTTGGGCCAAAGCATACTGAACGGGTCATATACCTTGAGGTTCGGAGAGAGGTCTGAGGCAAGGAAGCACCCAGCATCTTTCCAATGCTTGGCACCAACTCGGTCTCTTCCAGAAAGAAAAGATGAGCCAGGAAAGGTTCCCAGCATTGTGGCAAAGTCTGCAAAGGAGATCAAAAAGGTGCATAGATATTTTATTATTCTTATATTGTATAGCGAAAGAAGATCTAGTTTTGTTGAAGAAACACTTCCGAACATTGAAGCAGCACGCTTAGGCTTTGTGCTTTAGAGAGGCAGAATCTTCCATGCGTGTGTGCTGGATCCTTGCCCTTCCCGGCTTATAAAAGCAGGCAAAGAGGTACTAGCCAAGTTGGGTAAGAGGAATGATGAACCCCTCCTTCCAGCAAAGCTGGGTATTAGCATGCCTAAAGGAGTAAGTCCTTTGTTTTAAAAATTCCTTCTTCAATCTCACTGTATATCTAATGCTATTCAACATCTACACGAAACCACTGGGAGAGGTAAATAAGATAAATAAATAAATATCTACATGAATGCCTGAGTCACTTTGCCTGGTAAGGTGAACCAATAACTTATCAAAAATGCCCCACCAAGTTACGCACACCTTACGCATTGATCAAAAGGATGCACGACCCTTTCCTCAGGAAAAGAGGAAGGCCAAACAAGATATGGATTAACTCCCTAAAGGAAACCACAGGGTTGAGTTTGCAAGAGCTGAGCAGGGCTGTTGAGGACAGGGCATTTCAGAGATGGCTCAGTCCTAGGATCGTTGTAAGTTGGAGGTGACATGACAGCACACCACAACAACAGACCTGCATCAAGCCAAACCTGGAAGGAAGGCATTTTGGTAGGAAGAGGAGGTGGTTTTTTTGGGGGGACGATCCCCAGAGGAGGATCCCCTTCTTCCTATCTTGGAGGGAGGGGGGTCTGGCTCTTTCAGGGACTCCCCCCCCAAGCGAAGTCTCCCCTTCTCCCAGCTCTGGATCCCCCTGCTGACACCCTACCTACAAGTCAAGATCTGCCCCACCGCCCCCTCTCCCCTCTCAAAGCTCACCTGTTTCCTGTCCCCAAAAGAGGCACCTGCAACTTTTCCCGGAACTCCCGAGAGGGGGCGATAGCAGATGAAAAGCGGAACCGGAAGTAAAATTCCGGGCGTCGTGGCTCTCTTTCCTGAGAGACTGTCTAGGACGCTCGCGTCCCTTGCTTTAACCCCTTGAGTGAAAGTCAGAAAAGAAGGAGCCTGGCGCTTTCCTTTGCTAGTTCTGTGCGTGTTGCACTTGAAAGCAGCTGTCAGTGGATGAACGCTATGCTTTTTATTTCACATTATTCATCGCGTCGTTCTTGTGACATCGCTCTTTTGTATTATGTGTTTTTTCCCCGTCTCATCCTCCTGCAAGCCCCCTTGTCTTGGCCAAAAAAAGGCAGGAAAGAAATCAAATAAACGAATTTGCAAAAAGCACGATTTTGGTTTTTTGTGGTTTTCCCCGGAAGGCTCTCCAACAGCTGAAACGGGAATGTTGTGTCAAATAAATAAATCTACATTCTCCAACTCTGGGGCTTTGAACAGTGATGGGCTGTGCAAAGGAGATACTAGAGGCCACTTGAAGGAGCCATTCACACGTCCGGTCTTGGTGATCAATGGGGCCATTTTCTCTGTTTGATTTTTTGCATCTTGAAAGGAAGAAAAGCAACTGCAGAAGGGCAGTGAGCCTGAGATCTAAAGACACAGGGGTTGGGGACCTGAGAGGAATCCCTTCCCCAAACCATAAGGATCCCATGCCCAGTCATTCTTCTTGCTGCATTTTGTTTGATCATAACCCCCTGTATACCCTTAAAAATTAAAATACCAAAGAGTCTGGATTGTTTCTCCAAAGCCAAGCAATAACAACAGTTACCATGCACGGCTGTCAGCCACAACGCCCTCCAACTTAGAAATCTGGAAATAATTTTACCCTTATTTTTATTTTTAAAATTGTGATTCCCCCTTTCTTATTTCTGTTATTATTGATTGAAATGGATATTTTGGGCAGGGAGCTTGGGACTTGGTGGCCTTATACCCTGTTTTCCCGAAAATAAGACCTAACCTGAAAATAAGCCCCAGTATGATTTTTCAGGGTGCTCGTAAGATAACCCCTACCCCCCAAAAGAAGTCCCAGTTAAGTGAAAACCTGCCCTCCACCCTTGTGCAGCAACCAGAAGGAGATGAAATGACTGTATTTGAATGAACATAGATTGTTGTACATGAAAAAATAAAACATCCCCTGAAAATAAGCCCTAATGTGTTTTTTGGAGCAAAAATTAATATAAGACCCTGTCTTATTTTCGGGGAAACAGGGTATTATGTACATATTATGTAGTGTTTTTCACCAATTGGGAAGGAGAGATAGATAGATAGATAGATAGATAGATAGATAGATAGATAGATAGATAGATAGATAGATAGATAGATAGATAGATAGATAGATAGATAGATAGATAGATAGATAGATAGATAGATAGATGATACTCTTTTTAAAAAAGTAGAGCCATTTGTTGAACAACTTCGTTAGGAGGCACCTCTTGATATGGTGATATCATGATAATATGGTGATAATATGATTCTGGTTAAAAAAATCCTTCTGTTTCCTTTAATATGTAAATAAATATACGTATCCTGTTCTGTTTTAATACATTTTATCTTTTCTTCTAATGTTTTTAAGGCTTTTAACATCTTTTCAGTGAACGTTAATACAATCTTTCTGCGTACGGCAGTGTCCTCACACAAACACAGGATAGTGTTTACTGTTTTGTGTTGTGTTTCATGTAATGTATTGTAGTGTTTTTATTAATTAGAATTGTTTATTTACATTTTTATTGTATCATTTTACTGTTGTTAGCCGCCTAGAGTGGTCCTCACCGACCAGATAGGCGGGGTATTAAATAAATAAATAAATAAATAAATAAATAAATAAATAAATAAATAAATAAATAAATCATTGAGACATTTGGGGTCCTTGAAATAAAAAACCTCCACTCCTGTTTTGGCTAACCCAGGCTTTTTTTTTAAAAAAAAACCAACACATTTCATGGATTTAGGGAAAAGAGAAAGATCCATACCAGGTAAAGGGGTGGGTGCCTCCATTCACTCTTCCCTCTTGTCCTGCACTACCTGGCTCACGAGGAACCCACCACCCGGGAAGGGGGTCCTGATCCACCCTCTCTGACTCAGTTCTCCGCCTCCAAGGCGTTCTTGGATGATCAGAGTATATGATCCCAGTTTGGGTGGATCTGAATGGCTTCAGCCACTGACAGCAAAGATAAAGAGAAGGGGCTTCCCAATCATTTAGGGCTGGTAGGAAAACTCCCCCTGATTTGTGGGGAGCTTGCATCCGGGTGGGTTTCCTAGCCCTGATCCTGCAACCGCTCTGCCTTGGGAAAAGGCAGGGGGCTCTTTGGGCTTGGAGGGAAAGACGATGGAGGAAAGAAAAGGGATGGAAAGGATCACCATGGGTCCCTCCTCTGCTTCCCAGTCCCCTCTCTATGAAATAGGATTTCAGTCCCTTTAACCCTTGCTAAGGACATCAATCTGGAACAAGCTGGAAATCCTTGCACAGCTTTGCTTTTCTTCATTTTGCACACTTCTTGCTAACTGAGGGATCTGTTCAAGTCAAGATTTTGGAATATGTTTTTGCCGACATGGCTGTTCTGTTTTCTTTTGCCTTGCGAAATTAAGGTTGTGGCTTCCTTTATCGGCTCACTCCATCTCATGTTTCATTTTCCTCTTCTTCTACGGCGCTCCACCGTGACTCGTCCGCAAAAAGCTAATATTACAAAAATATAAAAGTTAGTCTTTAAAGTGCCACCCCCCCCCTTTTTTAACATTATAAATACTGATATTTCCAGGTAAAGCCTTGCCACAAATCAAAATTGATGTGATGGCACATGAGGATGATGAATATTCTCATTAAGATAATTTTTATTTTTATTTACTATTTGTCATATAATAGTCAATTAATTCTCTCTCCCCTCCCCCTATATTTGTATATTTTTTAAAGCTTTCAAACAATGTTTTTAATTATGTAAGCAGCTTTGGGCCTTTTTAAGGAGAAAGGCAGGTAAAAATATTATAAATAAGTAAATAAATAATTGTGTGGACCACAGGTTTGTGTTGAGTGTTCTCATGATGTGCTCAAGTCTCATGGAACTCGAAATATGCCTCCTTAGGAGTAAGCCCTAGTGAGTCCTCCCCAATGCTTTCCAGCCATTAGCCATTGACTCCTATCTTGGTCTTCCTGGGCGGGAGGGATCAATCCTATGAGATCCTGTTCCAGTTTTCCTCTTCCTGGGAATTAATCCGATTGAACTCTACTCATCCCTCCCATTGCATTCCATGGGACTGGGTTCTGCACAGCCTCACCGAGGATCGCACTGCTACAGCCTTCCCCTACCCGCGAAAAGACATATGGGTGAAGGCTGGCATTGCCTGCGGAACCACCTGCCACTAGGAAGGTCCAACTTGAGCTCCTGGCTACCGCCCTTCTCTGCCAGGTGCTTGTCAGCTGTGTTGGATCCCATCATCCCCAAGCAGGATGGCTACTGAAAGAGACTTCCGTGCAAAGCAGCCTGATTCCTTTAGTTTTCATGGACCCCCGAAAGAGAGCCGAGAGAACGTGCTTTTTCTTGGGATAACAGAATCCATCAGCCAGAAGGGCTAGGTAGGGGATTAGCAGAGTGGTAGTCCAATAAATTACTGACTCCAAGGTCTGCTTCAAAGTAAGAGCTGGGTCTATGGCAGATATCAAGAAGGTGCTTCTGAAGCCATTTATCCCCTCAACAGGCTGGCTAGGGGATTCTGGATCTTGTAGTCCTCAAAAAAGTCTTAACCCACAGGCCTGTGGTGCCCGGCCTGAAGGATACAGGGTTGAAAGCCAGCTTATGTTTGCGACTTTATAGAGTCTAATAAAGGTATAGCTGTCTGGGTAGCTCAGTGGTTTACGTCTCTGGCTGCGGAGCCAGAGAGAGGTTGGGAGTTCAATTCCTCACTGTGCCTTCAGAGAGAGGAGACAGCACCTGGATTGGGGTTGGGAGTTCGATTCCTCACTGTGCCTTCAGGGAGAGGAGACAGCACCTGGAATGGCTCACCCTAAATCAGAATTCACTTGACAACACACAGTTATTATTAAATAAAGGTATTGCCTGCCCTTACCTTCAGAGTACAAGGGCCTGCTTCCTATGTGGAATTTGTTTTAAATTGGAAAAGGTCTCACAATCTCAGGCTACTGAATTTGGGACACATAACTGTGGTCTTTCTTTGCTTTTATGGTGACCCAAGAAGTGCAAAATATAAGAAATGCTCGGACATGGGATAAATATTCTCTAATGTGACTTCCTTTTATTAATCACTGTCGTCGTATTCTTCTCTGAGATCTCACGCCAGTCAATGGAACAATGGTTTAAACTGGTTTGTAACCTCCTTAATCAGCTACACTGATTCTTTCAACCAAGTCCTGAATCATTCATTCCAGGATGTTACTTAATAATCATGTGTCACACCAAGTCAATTCTGACTTCTGACAACCCTTTTCAAGGTTTTCCAAGTTAAAAAATGCTCAGAAGTGGTTTCACATTCCCTTCTTCTGGGGGGAGCCCTGTGTTCCCACCTAAGAACCCAAACTGGGAAGAAACCATTTAGATGTTTACTGTGTGGGAAAAGTTCCGCCAGAACCCGACCCTTGCTCGTCATGTGAGGATCCACCCCGGGGAGAAACCGTTTGAGAGTCGGGAATGTGGAAAGAGCTTCAGTTGGAGCATAAATGTTTCTTCCCATATGAGAACCCACACCAGAGAGAAACCATTTCGATGCCTAGAATGTGGAAAGTAATTCAGAAATAAAGTACATATTTCTTGGTTCTCATTTTTTAAAAATCCATGTTTTGGCAGAATTTTTAAGTCAGAGGTGGTGGGCAATGTGTGACATTTTCGGTCCAAACCCATGAGATTCACCCTGCACAGAAATGGCTGGAAAGAGCATTTTGTTTTTCAAGCAGAAGAAAGAAGTGAGATTGTTCCATTCACATCTCATTGCTGTTCACTTGCTTTCTCCACTTGATTGTCATCTTTTGACTTTTTTTTCAATCAAAATGTTCCTATTTTTGCATTGATCTGCATGCTTTTATTAACTGTTAATTAAAACAGAGTCAGTTACGATGTGTTCTTAGTACAGCAGAGGGGGTTCATATGATCAAATGAACACATGTGGGTGGTGATCCTTGTAAATATGTTATAAAACAGCCCGTATAGTTGAATGAATCTTTTAATTATCATCAAAATACTGTACGTAGAAGTGGTTTTTCCCTTCCCTTCCACCAGAGGGCGTCCTGGGACCGTGCAGCTTGCCCAAGGCCACCCAGGCTGGCTCTTCTCCCTGGAGGCACTGTGGGGGTTTGAACTCCCAACCTCTCGCTCTACAATCAGAAACCTAAACCACTGAGCTCTTCAGCCAGCAGTAAATCTATTAAACAATAGAAATGTAAATATGCAAAGTTATTCCATTATACCCTCTCTCCTCAGGTGATGAATCCCAGTACTGCTTGGCTGGGATGTCAAAAAATACTCACAAAATTATGCGTTCTTGGTGATTGGGTGGGTTTTGACAAGATCACACTGGCTCTACATTCATAGCTAGAAGGCTGTTTGTCCTTCAAATGGTCACCAATTGTGCCAACTTGTGATTTATAAAATAAAAACCCTGGATTACAAACATCTCATTGGCAATATGTTAATAAATCACTCATGCCATTCTCTTAGATGTAACCTCCAGCTGTCTTATTGATCAGCCCCAGTACACCCTATTTTACCATCATTTTTACCATCAAAGACTAATCAGGTAAAACGGGGCTACTTGGATGCAGGACAAATTTTCTGTAACTGTGGAGAAATTCAATCAATACAGCACTTACAGGCATGCAAATTATGCTTCGCCACATGTACAAAAAGAAGGTCTAGCAAATGGCCAAGATAAGGCTATCAAAATAGCCTGCTTCTGTAAAAAATAGTCTAGTTATCTTAAAATTTTAATTTGCTTTAAATTTTACCTCTATTTCATATACATTCATAAACTTAAACTGGGCAAACCTCTGATAACGAATAAAAATATCGCTATAGTCAATGGAACCAACCATATTGAATCTCTGTTGTATTTTACTGTCTTCACTGTTTGCACAGCAGTAAATACTGACCAAAGATGAAAGGAGCGAGGGGTGGTATGTATCTCGATCAAGGCAGATTGTGGTCTCACTCAGTTCTGCTTTGGTCAGACCTCATTTGGTTTCCTGTGTCCAGTTCTGAGCAGTCCAGTGGAAGAAAAAACATGTAGGCAGCTCCACAGGCTGTCAATCAGTTTCTGGGCACAATTCAAAGAGGTAGTTTTAACCTTTAAAGGCCTAAACAGCCTGGATCCAAGTTTTCTCAAAGATTGTGTTTCCCATTATGAGTTGTATAAAGTATTAAGGTAATCAGGAGAAGCCCTTTTGCTCCTGCCACCTTCACAGGTGCATTTGGAGGGGACACGAGAGAGGGCTTTCTCTGTGGCTGCTTCCAGACTCTGGAACTCCCTGCCACTGGAGTCTTTGCTCTCTTTCCGCAAGCGGGCAAATGACCTTTCTCTTGAATTTATTTACTTATTTATTTTATTTATATTCCGCCTATCTGGTCAATTATTCAAGCAGGCTTTTCCTGTGTTTCTGCATAAAGTCATAAGAATCCATTATTTTGAGTCCAACCTCCGACTTAACATGCAAGTCTTCGAGACATCACTGGGCTCTTCAGCATTTTTATTCCAACTAGTTGCAAAGGAAGCAAGAATCGGATCATAAACCATGTTAATTTGACTCCTGATTCTCCCCCAACCTCCCCACCGACCTTTTAACCTCGTCTTTAAAACACTACTCACATCAAACCTCCAATTTTCTTCCCCGCCAACAAAAAAACTAAATACATAAACGAGGGATGGACAGAAAGCTATCGCTGACGTCTCCCTGTCCTTTTTTTCTCTGGCCACACTTTTTCACATTTAAAGGACCTCAGAGAGGATGAAAAACACACCTCCCCTCCTCTCCTCGAAGGGTTAAAGAGAGCGACTTGCACGGCTAGAGAGGTCAGGAGGAAGAAGGCGCGAGTGGGCCACCTCTGGGAAACAATTTCCGGCCTGCTCTTCTCCTCCCTCCCCTTCTCTCTCTCGCCCCCCTCCCTCCTGCAACCTCCCTCTCCTCCATGCAAGGCTGCAGGAGCAGCTGGGCTGCAGCTGCCACCGGGGCTGGGAAGGCATCGGGTGAGTTGCAGCTTCCCTGGGCTGGACGGAAGAGGACGCAAGATTGTTTTTTCCAGGCAGGCAGGGAAAAAGGAGGGGAGAAAGGGAGGCAGCACTGAGTGGGGTGGGGGGCAGGAATAACAAAGACCCCCCCACCCCTCTCCATGCAGGAGGGGGTTCATCCCATGCAGTGGCCCCCCCATGGCCGGGACTCCCTCCCTCTGTGCACAAAAAGCTTCGCCTCCTTGTCTTCTGGGCGCCACATCTGGATTTATCAGTTCAAAGATCTGGCTGTTGTATTTGGGGACAACATAAGCAGGCAAGCCTTCACGGGAAAGACAATCATGCTTGCAAAAGTTGAAGGCGGCAGGCAAAAAGGGGAGGGCGGAGCCACAGGGCCACGCCTTCCCAGGGCCACGCCCACTCGAAAAGGTCCCGCTTGCAAAAAAAAAAAGAGGGGCACCCCTCAAGCCCCCTTACACCTCGTAATAGCTTAAATGGGTTTTTAATTCAGGAGTGCACCAGGCCCTCCCCCCAGGAATCCTGCAGACTGTTGGTGACACAGCTGTTGGGAACTTTTGGAGCCCAGATTTTGTGTGTGTGTGTGTGTGTGTGTGTGTGTGTGTGTATGTGTGTGTGTGTGTGTAAGCACTGGAGGAATCATCTGAGTCATCTTCTGCATGCACCCCACGTGACAGATGCCCAAACCTGACCCGATGTTTCTTCTGTCTGCTTGGGAAAGAGATAGAAATGGAACTTCCCCCACACCTTGCATAAAGTGCCCTCGAGGTTGAAGGCGTTGGTCTTCTCCAAACCGGTGTTAATGCAGAGCCCGGAATGGTTTAGGACCTCCCTTCTTATCAGCGTGCCTCTTTCTGAGCTCGTCCCCCTACACCGCTTGCACTTCCCAGGCTTCGGTGCTGCGGGAGGCCAGGACACCCACAACTTCCCAGCATCAGTGGTAGCTGCAGCCCAGCTGCTCCTGCAGCCTGCATGGAGGAGAGGGAGGTTGCAGGAGGGAGGGGGGCGGGAGAAGGACAAGATGGTTGGACAGTGTCACCGAAGCTACCAACATGAATGTGACCCAACTCCGGGAGGCAGAGGAAGACAGGAGGGCCTGGTGTGCTCTGGTCCATGGGGTCGCAAAGAGTCGGACACGATTTAACGACTAAACAACAACAACATAATCATCATACAATATGCCAGCTTTTGTGGCTCAAACACCACTTCGTCAGGCTTGTACCAGTGTGAAGAACTTGAAGTCCAGCAGTTCATGACAAGATGGATTTCGCCAGGAAACTTACTCTTCGATGTAACGTTCTTGGCCAGTCGGATTTCGCCAGGCATAGCTTTCTTAGTCAGCAGAGGTGTAGGAAGCGGTATGGTGGTCGTCTTGAAAATTACAGCTGAGGCAGCTGTAGACTGAGTATCTTCAAATTCTTCAAATCCAGAAGGCCTGGCCATTGTGTGCACACACATGCTTAGAGATTGATCTTATTTTGGGTTCTTTGCATGCCATCTTGGGTGCTCTGTGGGGTTATATTTTACCATATCATGGATCGGGTGAGGAGATGTGTTTCTTTTTATGTCTTATGTTGGAAACTGCCCAGAGCAGTGGTAGGCCACTCGTAGATGGGCAGTATAGAAATTTAAAACATACGTGTATTCCTGGTAGCTTTATATTATCTATTTGATGTCTTGCACTCATGCTGTCCTCAGTTCTCCACTCTTCTTAAGAATGTCGGGTAAATCCTTAGCAGTTGTGGGTGGGGTGCAAATTGTGAGTCTTCGGCCACAGGCTTTCTTCCTTGCTTTCTGCTTCTGTTTCCCTAAATCCCCACCACGCTGGAATTTCCCATCTTGTTAGATTGAAGTTCTTACATACCATTTTTGTATGCTTTTTCTCTCTCTCATTTTGTCCTTTCCAAAATTTCAGGCGCATGGAGGGGAGGAGGGCCGGAAGCGTGAGACAGGTAGGCCCCGTCTCTGAAGAAGCGCTGATGGCCTCAACCAGAGGGTCGCACAGCGAGATGGCATTTCAGAAGGCTGCCAATGAGTGTGAGTCCTGTTCTGACTGTATTGTTGCTAAAGAGTTGTGTAGGTTATAAATGCCTCTATGCCTTAATGGGTGGAGAAGTCTGTGAGGGATATCAGGATAAAGATGAAATATATATATACAGAAGTGATTTACCTACAATAGAAATAACTTTATTTCTTCTATCTGTCTGTCCATCCATCCATCCCCCACATTTATAAACTGCCTCATTAGAATCACATAATAATTCAGTTGGAAGGGGCCTTTAAGGCCATCCAGTCCAGCCCCCTGCTCAAGGCAGGAATCCAGCTCAAAGCAGATCTGACAGATTATCTATCTATCTGTCTGTCTGTCTGTCTTTCCATCCGTCCGTCCGTCCGTCCGTTCGTTCATTCATTCCTCACATTTATAAACTGCCTCATTAGAATTACATAATAATTCATCTGTCTGTCTGTCCGTCCATCCATTCCTTCCTTCCTCACATTTATAAACTGCCTCATTAGAATCACAGAATAATTGAGTTGGAAGGGGTCTTTTAAGGCCATCCAGTCCAACCCCCTGCTCAAGGCAGGAATCTAGCTCAAAGCAGATCTGACAGATTATCTGTCTGTCTGTCTGTCTGTCTGTCTGTCTGTCTGTCTGTCTGTCTGTCTATCTATCTATCTATTGTAAGGTAAATCTTTTGAATATATATATTGCAGCCCAGATACAGAAGTCTGCAGACCAGCTGTATTTACCTCCTTTAGAGCCTTCTTCAGCCTCTTTGTGTTTTCAAACACAAGGAAGCTGCCCCAGTGCGACCTGGGAGTCATAAGTCTTCCCGGAGAGCATAGTTCATTGGGAGGAGTCCTACTGTATATAGCCAGGGTTCCGAATCCCTGGTCTGCAGACTGGTAGCGGGCCTTGCCAGGACCGGGTTGTGGAGACAGATCTCCCGCTCCCTGCACACACTCCCTCCTGCATGCACACATGGGCCCCCCATATGCACGCATGGGGGCCCCGTCCCATGCACTGGTGCCCCACCCATCCATGCACTCACACCCTGCCCCCCAACTGGTCTGTGGATTGGAAAAGGTTGGGGACCACTACTTTATAGGGCTTAATCTGCAATGAAACTACACTTCCCAGAAAGGCCTACAACTCTCAGGTTGCATCAGGCCAGCTTCCTGTACGGGAAATGTAAGTCCAAAAGCCGAGCAGCCTTGAAGGTGGGGTCTTGTTCCAGGTCAGCGGAATGTTGGTATCTGTAGGTGTGAGTCTTTGGGCTGTAATTCCTGGGTTTATGCCTGGGAATAGTTGGAACGTTCTGGGAGTTGGAATCCAAAAAAGAAACAAAGGGCATCATCCTAGTCTTCTTAGCCGAGGTACTCAGAGTGGAAACCTTACTGCATGTAAAAGAAATAACTCCAGTCAGAAATCAATTAAAGTACAATAGGAACCTCGTATCTGCAGGATTAGTATCCACGGTTTCACCTCTCCATGGTCTAAAAATATTAAAAATATTAAAAGAAAAAAAACAAAGAAACTCTTTTTCACATGTATTACCAGAACCTACCACTAGAGGAAGCCAGACACCATGCTACAAATATTTGTTAGGGAAGAATACATTGCATGGTCTCTGGCACCCTCTCCTGGCCAGTTCTGGCAATGCATTTAGAAATAATTTTCTGGTTTTGGTTGAAGGTTTTTCAAGCTGTTTGGCCGTGTTCTGGAGGTTTTTCTTCCTAACATTTCTTCGAAGGACAGGAGTTAGAACTCTGTCTGGGAACACTAAATGTAACTCCTGTCCTCTGAAGATGCTGGCCACAGAGACTGGTGAAACGTTATGAAGAAAAACCTCCAGAACACGGCCAAACAGCCTGAAAAGCCTACAGCAACCATTGCGTCCCGGGCTTGAAAGCCTTTGAGAGTACATTTTCTAGTTTTGTTTGTTTGTTTTGTTGTTGCTTAGTCGTGTCCGACTCTTCATGACCCCAGGCCCTCCTGTCTTCCACTGCCTCCCAGAGTTTAGTCAAATACCTGTTTGTTGTTTCGATGACACTGTTCAACCATCTCATCCTCTGTCGTCCCCTTCTCCTCTTGCCTTCACACTTTCCCAACATCAGGGTCTTTTCCAGGGAGTCCTCTCTTCTCATGAGATGGCCAAAGTATTGGAGCCTCAGCTTCAGGATCTGTCCTTCCAGTGAGCACTCAGGGTTGATTTCCTTTAGAATTGATAGGTTTGTTCTCCTTGCAGTTCAGGGGACTCTCAAGAGTCTCCTCCAGCACCACAGTTCAAAAGCATCAATTCTTCAGCATCCACTCTCCACTATGACCTGTCCGTCTTGGGTGTCCCTCCACGGCATAGCCCATAGCTTCTCTGAATTACTCAGGCCCCTTCACCACAACAAGGCAGCAAACTATGAAGGGGCTTGTTTGTTTTACCATGCTATATCTATAGTGTTCACTATTATCCAAGGTTTTCAGTATCTGCTTGGGACTTGGAACCAATCCTGAGTGGATGGGTGTGTGTGTGCCCTACTGTACTTGACTACAGTCCAAACATACAGTGGTGCCTCGCATAGCGATCGCTCCGTATAGCGATGAAATCGCTTTGCAATGGACTTTTTGCCATCGCAAAAGTGATTGCTTTGCGATGGTCCCTGTGGGGAAATTTCGCTTTGCAATGATCGCAGGGAAGCGATCATCGCAAAGC